AACCTGGGGCCGTATTCTGTTCCGCTAAAATCCGCTTACCGACAATTGTCGGTAAGCCGATTTTAGCGGAACAGAATACGGCCCCAGGTCGATTGAGCATTTTTTCGAGGTTCATGGCTAAAGTTAATGTTTTTTTTTATGGCCCCTGGCGACTCGACGAAATCGACGTCGCTTTACCCGCAAATGTATACTGCAACGGCTGTGCAAAGTAATGTTAACGTACTTTCCTTCAGATAAGATAAGCACAAACGATAGTAACACGTTTCTTTCAAAGAAAAAAAATCATATTAATCATTTGAAACAAAAGTAACATATATGATATCAAATATCTTCATTATATGTTTAAATAAATATTTTTCCTCAAAACGACGTATATTGAAAAAAAGATTCTTCCTGCTGTTAGACTTTTTTTTCGTCATTTCTTGTGTTCGTTATAGAGACTATTCCAGAACTATTGCACTGTTTTCTTAATGACGTAAACTTTGATAATTTAAAGTTATTCCTTTTTCAGCCGGATTTAAAAAGTCACATTTTATAAGTTTTTTCGCAACTCGTCTTAAATCTCAGAAAAACTTGTATTAAGAAAAAATTGACTGTAAATTGATCACAGTTAAAATAAAAGGCGCGATAGTTTTGAGATATCCATATATGTTATATCTAGGGGCGCACGTGAGACGAGTATGCGCGTACGTATATGCTATGAACAATCTTTTATCGTGAAGAAATCTAAAGCATCTAATTTCGAAAATTGAGGTAGTATCATAGGGGAAAATGGATTTGGTGGGCTGTGTAGGCAATCCGAGACATTGATAATGGTAAATTTTTTAAGGATCAATCTCATTGTATATAAGAGGTATTAGCAATGTGCCAAATTATCTGCGCAGCCAATCAGGCCCACTCTCCGCTATATTGGATTAGGGACAACATACACACATAAACTATTAAGAACTCTTTTTAACACCGCAATTCCCAACACACTCACGCAAAAATAATCGGACTTGACACCGTGGGGGGAGTTTCAGCACCTCTCATCTGAGATCTCGGTTGATCATAATAGATTTCGATCGTGATTTTAAGCGTTTTTTTCGCGTTTAACGTGCTATACTATCATCATTAATAACGGTACTATGCGAGTGAACTTTACTAGCAAAGTTCTCTCTCTCTCTCTCTCTCTCTCTCTCTCTCTCTCTCTCTCTCTCT